CTATCTCTGTTTCAAGCCATCTACATATAAATATTCATATATTTTGTTTTACATTTTTCTCTATAGAGGGTATGTTTTAAGAATAATAATTTAGTAAAAAAATGTTTAAAATAGTTTTATTCTGCTTCTGTACCTAAAAAGCCGTAATTAGAAACAGAATATTTATTGTACAACAGATACATACATGAACATTGCTGTTATATAATTTAATTCTGGTATCAATTAAACCAACTTTAATTTTTGCCTTGACTCCACTTATATCTTTCTATTTCTCCCAGATGCATATTTAGCTGACTTGTGCTGAAAGCCAAAATTGTACATCCCTACCATATGGAGTCTTCCTTGCAACCAGCATCTGTGAGAGTTTAAGGAAAAAATAGAATGTAAAATCTGCTTATAAAACCAATTTTTTTCTTCTTTCCATTTTTGCTCCTTTTTGAATTACTTGGTTTAGCAAGTCTAGCAAACCATGAAATAGTCGTGAGAGTGCTGTCTAACCACTGTTAGAAACATATGCAGCTTTTCTTGAAGTTTACAATAAAAGAACATTTAATTAAATATAATAGAAATATTTACATGCAGCATTTGAAACAAAAAGAAATATTTCACTTAATTTAATACTTCTATCTGGTAGAAATCAACATGGAAGCCAACAGGAGACTGTGAGTTCCAGTCCCACTTAAGGCATGAAAGCCGGCTGGGTGATTTTGGGTTAATCATTCATTCTCAGCCCAACCCACCTCACAGGGTGATTGCTATGGGGAAAATAGGAGGAGGAAGGAGGAATAGGTGTATTTGTTGCCTTGAGTTATTTATAAAAATACAGGTAGTCCTTGACATGTGACTGTAATGGAGTCTGCTCATTAAATCACATTATGCAACAAATGTTTAACAGTTGTTAAATGAAGCAGCTCAGCTTATTGCCATCCCAGTAAGTGGCACATGGGGTACCTCAGGAGTAGGGGAAACCCTTGGAGGCCTAGTACTGGCCCAGGCCCACCTGCCCTGACCCTTCCAAGGTCTCCCCCATTCCTGAGATTGCCCCGTGCTCTATTTCCCAGACCTTTAGAGTCCTAATAGGCTTTTCCCCACTCCCAGTGAATCCTCCCAGGCCTCAGGTCTGATTCCCACCCCCACCTGGGCCAAACGCCCTCCTCCTCATTTACCTTTTGAAGAGCTCCAAGGCTTCCCGGAGGGAGGGCTGGAATGGATTGCTTCATCGGGTGGCTGCATGGCATCATTCTGGAAGCAGCCACCATGTTTCCAGCAGCTGAATTGCATTTTGGCATAGCCGCCACTTGCAGAATCGTGCCATGCAATTCCATTTTGCTGCTTTAACCTGATTTGCGCAGTTAATTTCTGCAGCATTCAGAAGCTTCTGCAGCTCTTTAAGGCAGCAAAATGAAGCAGTTTAGCAGCTGCCATTTTGTCCCTGTCCACATGGCCTGCCCTCCTTCCCCAATATGAGGTCCTGAGAGCTTCAAAAGGTAAGTGTAGAGGGTGTGTGGGTTCTGGAGGGGTGGGATGGGGGGAGAGAGGTGTGTGTGTGTGTGTGTGTGCTACAGCAACTCTGTGATCAGTCATAAAGGTGCTGCAGCCATCATAATTTTGAAACGGGGTCATATATAATTTTGGGTATCTATTGTAATGTTGAATGTTCGTTAAGTGATCTGTTGTATCTTAAGGACCAACTGTAATAAAGATAGGATATAAATAAATAAATCAGTCAATAAATATTAAGCTAAGCTAATTTCCAAGGCAAGCTTGGAAGCTTTAAATCTGAATCTTCAGGTGCTCCAGAAACTTTGTGTTTAGCCTAAAGCTTAGCATAGATCTTCCCTCCCTCGTGGTCATTAAATGGTTGTTAAAGCAAAACTGGCTTCCATATAATTGGCTTTGCTTGTGGAAAGCCAACTGGGAAGGTTGCAAATAGTGATCACATGACCACAAGGTGGTATGACGATTGCAACTTCACTTTTTCCAAGACCCTTGTATCTTCAAACTGTCACTAAACAAACAATCATAAGTAGAGGAGTACCTTTATATTGATTTGATGGTGTATGATATTCAAAGTAAATGCACTGCTGCAGATTAACAGTACGGTTAACAAAGGGATAGTTATGGGCGAACATTTAAAGTAATAAACTGCATAATGCACACATGCGCACATATAACATTTATATATTATAGAAATATAAAATTTTAATAAATTTACTTTAAATAAAAATGACTTTTCTTATTATGGTAGTGTTTCAATGTTAATCCTCTGGTTGTAATTCAGTACTGCTGTTCTAATTAAAATAGTCCAGTGAAGCAGTGAACAATATGAGTCGATGGATTTGTTGCCTTGTTTAATGATTTTCAGAAGCAATAGAAGAAGAAGAAGATGTGTGGCACCAGAGAGGAAAGGTCCTGGGGGATATGGCAGCAGATGGCTAGGCTTATTTTATTCATTTACCACTGTATTAAAATATGTCTCATCATTTTTGGAAGGTGAATTAATTTGGAATGGTAATAATTTTCTCCTGAGGCTCTTGTACTGTTTCCAGAGATTGTGGACAGATCATTTTTTATCCTGTTGTTGTTTTACCAGGTAGTCCTTGACTTACAACAGTTCATTTAGTGACCATTCAAAGTTTCAACGGAACTGAGAAAAGTGACTTAGGACTGTTTTTCACACTTGCAACCACTGCAGCATCCCCATGGCCACGTGATCAAAATTCAGTTGCTTGGCAGCTGATTCATATTTACGATCGTCGCAGTGTCATGGAATCCTGTGGTTCCCTTTTGCGACCTTATGACAAGCAAAGTCAATGGGGAAGCCAGATTCATTTAACAACTGCAGTGATTCACTTAACCATCGTGCCATGAAATGTCGTAAAATGGGGCAAAGATCACTTAACGAGCGTCTCGTTTAGCAACAGAAATTTTGGGCTCAGTTGTGGTCATAGGTTGCCTGTATTCTCATCTCTGGATTCGACCCTTTGGCTGTTATTAAATTTTTGCCTTTAAACTCCCTTCCTTGAACGTCATGAACTTACTCCTACTTAGTCACAGTCTGTTCATTTTCCAAAGTGGAACAGAAAGAGGACCGGTTTAATTTTGGTGTGTGTGAAATACCTGTGATATATTGGTTTGCAGAGAGAGTTAGGAAAAACAAGCAGGAGTTGCAGTCAGCCGCTCTAATGCAGAAGTGTTAATAATACCTGGCTGAGCACATTCTGGTTTGTTTGTTTGTTTGACAGCCTTTGTGCCTGAAACCTGAATTCTCTTTCTTTTTTTGTGTGTTCTTTTTTCTTCTTCTTCTTCTTCGTTCAATCCTTGGTTTGCACTTCACGAAGCTGCAAATTGATAATAATATTTTGATCGCCATATCGGAAGGGGTCAGGTGGCAGTGTTCTTAATGCAATTGACGGAAATATCAGAGTACCTTTTGCGTTAGACAGAATTAGTAGGAAAGCATAAATTTAGACAGCTGTTGGGCGTGTGAGACTTGGCACAAAATGCTTCTCTCTGCATTCTCCATAGCCTTCTGTTCCAAACTGGCTAAAGCCCTGACATCTTGTTGTCTGGTGGGCAGAAAGAAAGTGATAGGGAACCAATTGTTTCTTCCCATTTTTTTGAGGCTTGGATCTGCCGCTCTCTACAGCTTCCAAGACCTCAGATTTGTTTTGCTGTAGCTGCTGGCTCTGCATATGAATTATTTCTGTAGAGAGGGGGAGACAAAGATCAATTTTCTTGTTTCCTCCGGGGACACAGAGAGGTACTCTGTTGAAATATTCATCTGAAAGACCATCTCTTTCCTCCCCCCCCCTCCCATGCCTGAGGTCAAGTCTTTATCGAGCTAGCTTGGTTATGGGTGGCACCACCTAGAAAGGCAGTAAAAAAAATGGGGCCTCTTGCTTTCCAAGGAGATTAGGTGTTTCCCCCCAGAAAGCTGCTAAAAATTATAGCACTGTGCTACTTAATGCTAATTGCTTATCTTAAAAGTTACTTCTAATTATTAATCTTTATTCTTTTTAGAATTTTACCGAAAATAAGCAAAACACAAAGACAACCCACGGAAAAGAATCATAGAGTACTAAATAATCATGAATAAAGAATGCTAAAACTAAACAAGATTAAAAAGAAAAATGCCCATAAAGGCTGTAAGAAAATGTACTGCAATCCATTACAAAACTAATAATTTAAGATAGGTCTTAATGCTACTGTTTTACAGAAATTCTTATAATACTATATTATCATCAAAAACAAAAATTTAGAAAGAAGTCACCTAATAATACTTCTGAATCGTTGTAAAATATCATAAAGTCTATGCCGAAGAAGAAGATATTACTTCATAATTTGATTAATTGGAAATATTGCCTTTTTCAGAAGGATAAATTACCCATATTTTTTTTTTTTAAATCAGTGTTTGGAGTAACATATTTTTTCCAATTTCACATTGTAATTCTTTTTGCCACCTACTATGCCCACTACAATCTTTATCAATGCCTCTTTGGAGAGTACATAATTTTGACCCCAATGCTGGGCTGTTATTACTTTTAAAGCCCTGGGTGATACAATACCAGGATCCATTGAGCAATACCAGAATTGTTTATCTGGTTCAACTATCAAAGAGAAGGCCTCACTCTATGGAATAAGCAGCTTCTGGAGATACAGATTCATTCATTCAGTTTGTAAAGCTGCCTGTAAATGGGATTTTTCTGCTGGGATTTTGTGAAGAAGCCAAAACAGGTTTTTTCCTATACATTTGGGCTTTAGATTAGACAAGCTATTTTAAGGGTACCTAGGGCAGTTGCTGATAATTGTTTTTAATTGTTTTCCATTTTTGGTTTGTCTTGGTAGCCTACTATCCAGGTTTGTCATAATGTTATAAAATCAATCAGTTAACTTTGATTAGCGAACTTTGATTCAGAACTACTCCATCTTTTAAGTTTTATTATTTGAATTACAGTATGGCAAAATGGCCTAGAATGTTTTCCTTTTCTTTTTTTCAGGATGACTTTCTATACAGCGTTTCAATTTTAAGTGGAATCCTTTGCACTAGTTTAGCAGTGATCAAATTTATGTTGGGGAATGTGCTTACAAGCAGAGCATTGTTAACAGATGGTAAGTAGCAAACAGATATCTCTTTCTTGATATTACATCAAAGGCTAATGAAGTAAAGATAAGTGAAGGTTATGTGTGGTTGGATTATATTACAGGGAGGAGAGTTGGTTAATGTATGTATAACAGATTTGGTTAATTTTTTTGAGTTCACTGAGCCTTTTGTTCTCTGATCTGTTCCAAAAATTAATAAATTTAGAAGCAAACATCATGCACAGAAGTAGTCCAGGGATTACCTGGTTCCGTTGTTTGTTGCTCTGAAATTACGATCATGATTAAAGCCACTAAAGGTTTGTCTAAATCAGTGGTTCTCAACCTTTCTAATGCAGTGACCCCATAATACAGTTCCCCATGTTGTGGTGACCCCCAAGTGGGTGTGGCCACCAATAAGAGGGAGTAGGACAGCTAGGGAAAAGGGAAAAAAATGGTGGACAGCATGGTTTGGTGACCCCCGTGAAATGGTCGTTCGACCCCAAATGGGGTCCCGACCCACAGGTTGAGAACCACTGGTCTAAATAAATAAATACAGGGAAAAATAAACTTTGAAGCCAAATAGCTAGCTAAAATGTTTACAGTCAAATGAAAACAATGTATCAAAATTTACTGTAGGAATCTAAATTATTTTCACACTCAACATTTGGACAGAATGTAGACTTTTAAAAAAAATATCTAAGCATCCACATGTTATTAGATTCAATGATAATTCTCCACCTGCATTTTGTCTGGAATTGCTGTTTGTCTTTTGCTTGTTGTTGTTTTCCAGACTTCAGGAATACTGTAGATTGTATTGCTCTAAATCATTTTAATGTGTGCAATGATGGGATGTAAGAAATCTGTGTTTTACTATTTCAACTGATAGAACACACTTACACACACACACACATATATATCTTTAGCTAGTAGCTAAGTTAAGCTTCACTTTTAAAATTAAAATGCTTTTAAAACAGGACTTAAATGGAAAAGTCTTAGCACAAATTTTAAAACTGGGCTCTTTACTTTCAAATTATAACTATATTTATGGTTTAGAGCTGAATTAACTTTAGGTAAGATGGGTGGCCTATAAAATTTATAAACAAATGAATAAAATTAGTAACAGCAATACCAGAGCAATCCTTCAAAAATAATATTGCATCTATGATTTTATAAAGATCATGGAATTTTTTCCACATTGCCAACGTCATTTATGTGTTTCCCAGCAACAATGACTAATAGTTCTCACTGGGAATTTTAATTCTGTGACATTATTTTTTTGCTGTGCAAAATTTTGAAAGAAGCATCAACTGATTTGTTTGTTGTGAAAAATGAAAAGATGCATTTTCTCTGCATGACAGATTAAGGTAGAATCCTGTTACTAATCTGAGAGAAACAACCTTTGAACTCAGTAAAACTTATGTCTGAGGTTAACAGGGATAATTTCACTCTTGCAATAGCGGCAAATATCTGTAGCTCAGGTGTAGGATGAGGGTGAAGGTTTGTTCTCCGAGCTTGTGGGTTGGTTCCAAATGTTTCATTACCAGGCTAGGTAACATCTTCAGTGGCGTTTAGGGGATGTCAGTGTCAAGTGTTTTTCTATTTATAAGGGCTTCAGTTGTGTGTGTGTCGAGTGAAGGTCTTGTGATGGGTTAGGAGGTGTTCACTCTTACTTTACTGTTTTTTTTTTTTTACAGTGTATGATCCTTAACCAAATGCTAGCATAATTGAATGCGTAAAGAGAATCCCCCCAAAATATGGGTGAGAGTAATCATATTCATGAAAGGTCCAGTATATGTACTACGATGAATGAAATGAATGAATGAAAATGAAAAAAAAAAAATCCTTCAGGAGCCAAGGCATAGGAAAGTTAATCCTTGACCAACTCTATGCTCCTTATGCCTTTCATTATTTATTTAATCAATAAATTTACATGTTGCCCATCTCACTATCCAAAACCACTCCAGAGAGCTTCCTTTCCTTGAAGGAAATACTCTTGCAGCTCTAAATGACAATTGCCCAGGTGGACATTTTGGAGTATTTGTAACCCATCTCCTTCTCCATAACCTTTGATGACCTTATGTTGGGACACCTCAATGGGAACTTTCTTTATGTAAACTTGGAGCAATGTCTCCTATTTGCAAGTCCAGGCAAGAATGGCCAACAGTTCATAGACTTAAAAGGACAGAAAACAAGTCCCAGGAACCTGGTATTCTGCAGTAAATCTTGTCTAACCCTATCAAATCTATGAAGCTTCTGCTGCTAATGAATTTGGGGCAGGTTTCTGGAGACATGAATTCAAGTCTTTTCTGACACCTTTAGGGAAGTAAGATCTATTCAATTGATTTTTTCCCCCTATTATTCTGGCTCCCTGATGGCTTCTAGCATATTATACAAGAAGAGCATGTCTTCTTACTTAATTAAATGTATAAATCTTATCCCCGCTCTACCACTCACCCGGGGCAAAATATAATGAAATATAAATTAAGGCTGATCAGAAAACAAAATAACGGATGAGAATTAGCATGAGAATTTAGAGAGCAATGCCACATCATAAAATTAAAACTCCAACTGTGTAGAATAGTATTTATTGCATGTTAAAAGCTGACCAGTAAAGGAGCTAGTCCTACTTTGAGACTGTTCTAGAGTCATGGTATTGCTATTAAAAACGCCCTGTCTGAATATTTTCCAAACTGGACTTTCCATTTGATAGACAATGCCAGAGGCTCTGATGCTTTTAAATAAATTATGGACAGGTTGACTAGGGGGTCTTGGTTTTTCAAATATCTCCACCCCAAGCTATTTAGACTTATTATCAGCATTCTGATTTCATAAACAAAGGTTTCCCTGGGATAGTTTACAACAGAGTCCCTCTTTGAGGGACAGAGTGGTACACCAGGGCTCTTCAAACTTAGGCCTTCTGTGACTTGTGGACTTCAACTCCCAGAAGTCCTCAGCCAGCATGCCTGGGAGCTGAAGTCCACAAGTCATAGAAGGGCCAAGTTTGAAGAGTGGCACACAAATGTAAATAAATAAAAATCATCATAGACAGAAATAGAGAAGTAAATAGATTAAAAGAGTGATTAAGCCCATGAGGTTCTTGCAATAAATATGGATTTATTACTATTAACCCTGCTGGAGTTTTCAGCAGCATTTATTATCACTCAATTAACAAAACTTAGGAGTGGAAGGTGATGGTTAGAGACAGAGTTGAAATTTAGAGAATCTGTGGTAGATATGGCATGAAAAGCTTGTTTCTGAAATGGATGCCATTTGGACATGGGCAGCAGCAAACATTCATTTATCTGATTTAAACTGATTCTCCCAAGTGCTGTAGAGCCATAGACATTATTGCAAAATATATAATAGAAAATGCTTTTCTGATATGAATTTTTATTTAATTTAATTTGCCTATTGACAAAACCTACGGATCTGGTTAATAAGAGGTGCCTTATAACTTATAGAAGAATAGAAGTGGGACAGATATTTTATTGTTTTTAAGCACAGTTCTACATGAAATAATATAATTTAGTACACAGAAATAAACCCTTTTGACATGCATGTTAGACCCTTTACTAATATTGTAGCATCTCCCTATTTTCTTAGAGCAAACAGACTTGTGGTTTTTGAAAATAGCTGAGAATGTTCCTTTTCTTCCTTTAATTATATGCTTGCGATAATTGCACTGCTGCTATTTTTCCCATTAACAAAATTAAGGAGTGAACTGTGTAATTAGTCTGCTGTCTATGTGTTTAACCTATTTTAGTTAAATATAGCTAAACCCAGATTTCTCTAGTTTTGCATCATTAGATTGAGTAGAATAGAATCTCTGGAAAATGAAGATCTCACTCACAATCTATTAAAAATGGGATAATCTTTGCGTATAAAATTCTTAATTTAAATTTAATGTCTCCTTCAAATCAAGCTCAGTTCCTGGTGATTACACAGACATGTTGAAAAAATGGCTTTCAATTAACTGATTACTGTGATGTCCTCAAGTTTTGTGTTGTTTGTAAATAGATGGCATATGTATAAATTTGAGATGATGTTGGGGCGGTCTCAGAATGTAGCATATAAAGTCCCCATGTATACGCTCCCAGTCTATCCGGGAGATGCTGTTAGTTCCAGTAAGGTTTTAATTCTATCTTTATAGAACAGAATTGTCATTTTCAGTTGTTTCTGGAGAAATGCATTTAAAAGGTCCATGAGGTCTTCTAAGATTCCACCATGCTATTCAGTAAGCCTAATTAACAAATGGGGAATATTGATGAGATAAACAACCTATCTGGGCTTGTGCTGCAGAAGAGCATCTCTGAATATGGTAACACCGAAGCTGGGGCCAATAGAGGGGATGTTGTTGATTTTACAGGATTTTCATTGTAATCACTTGCCTTAAAATAATGGGTAAGAGGGAGGGCCAAAAGTTTGTGTGTGTGTGTGTGTGAGAGAGAGAGGGGGGGGGAAGGGGAGGGGAGAGGGGGAGGGGAGAGGAGAGAGGGGAGAGGAGGGGAGAGGAGAGAGAGAGGAGAGGGGAGGAGAGAGGGGAAGGGAGGAGGGGAGAAGAGAGATGGGAGGAGAGAGGAGAGAGAGAGGAGAGGGGAGGGGAGAGGAGAAGGGAGGAAAGAAAGAGAGGGGAGGGGAGAGGAGACGAGAGAAAGTGAGAACGTCATTGTGGGGAGAAACCTGGGAGTTTCAAATGAATAAACCATGCATATAACAGAGTCACTTAGGAAGTGAGATTGGGTGACGTTTAAATTTAATAAATATGTTAATAAACGTCAGATTGTGGCTAATCTGGGTTTATGGATGAGGGGAGAGATGTGATCAGGCTGACATCTTATGGCCAGAAGTTGAAGAACAGAGCTGAGATATGACCATTATTTTCCCTGGCAGTTTTATGTTTTGACAGTTGTTATTAGTTGCCGTCTAGCATTCACAGCTTCAGTGGGAGATTCAGTGGAATATGGAATTCCTTCTGAACTCTGATGGGGCTCTTGGGTGCAATGTCACCATTGGAGAATCTCTCTGGTGTCTCTTGAGAATCCAAAAGCACAAATTAAAACCTTCCCTCCTTCTGCTCCTTCTCTTTCTCGCTCTCTCCCCCATCCCTCCCTAAAAATCATGGTATATTCATGTCCATTTGCTCCCTTTTCGGCCATATAGGGCTCTCTGTCTTGCTGCTTAAGCCTTGTATGTGTTGTTTGAGGGTGAGTTGCTGTGAGTGAGAAATGACTAATTTAACAGTTGATTGTGGGATGTAAGTGATATTGGGAGCATCTTATAAAAATAGGATGGAGATTTATTGAAAGATGGGAGAACGATAATTGATAAAAAAAAAATCACAAAAGAGCAACCTTTGGCTTGTCAGTAGCCTTCCTGTCAATAAGGGGGCCAAGCAATTATTTAATAAAGACTGATGAAATATCCAGCCCTTCTAGCCTTTCCTTCTTGCCACACCTAAGTTTTCTGCTGTTGGGGCTGTGTGTTTTCTAACCCCCATCTAGAGCCAGCATGAATGTGCTTATTCGTTTCTTTTACAAAACTGAATAGACTTTCCTTGGCAGTCAGCTTCATTTTCCTCCTCTGCCATATTTGCATAGCTGTCATGTCGTCCCTGCAGGATGGGATCTACTGCAGAGTTAGTGAAGTTATGTCTCCAGCTTCTAGAAAGCAGATGGTCGCTGTTCGTTTAAATGCAGTCCACAGAATTTGACACTGCCCTGCCTTAAAGGCCCAGAACACACCTCTAGTGCAGGGGCGCTTGATGGAATAAATGGTTTTGTCTTACTTTGGGGTGCAACTGGTAAAATATAGCTGGCTATTTAAAAACAGGTTTTCCCAATTCCATAGCCTTGTATGGGTGACCATATTAAGGCAGCATTTGCAAGGGGTGAGGGCAATTAAAGGGTTAATAGGAATCTCAGTGCATGAATTGGGACAACAAAGATTTATGGTATGGTGGATTAGATTTCTGAGCTGTAAAGAGCACTCACTGAAGTGGGCTTTGATTGTAGGTATATTTTAAAGCTTTGGGGAGTTGTAATTCCACTAGCAGGCACCGGGGTCCTGATCTCAGGCATAACAAGGTGCAAATCTTGACATTGGCTATTTCTTGAATTCCCTGATCTTGCTAGGAGGGCCTAATCTTAATTTATTTCATTGCAGGTTTCAACTCTCTGGTAGGAGGAATTATGGGCTTTTCCATCCTTCTGAGTGCAGAAGTTTTTAAGCACAATGCTTCTGTCTGGTACCTGGATGGAAGTATAGGGGTTCTGATTGGACTTACAATATTTGCCTATGGTGCCAAGTAAGTGAAACCTTTTTTAAAAAAGAAATTATTTTACATTTGCATTTGAATGTTGCTCCATGATTGTGGCAAGAAGGAGTCTGTCCCATGTACTATTTATTCAATGTTGTATGTATGTATGTATGTATGTATATGTGTATATGTATGTGTGTATATTTAATTACAGTGACTTTACTATCTTCTTATTAAAAAGCTGTATTGATTGAAATGTCCTGTTACCAATAGAAAAGAATATTTGTAGTTCAGGGTCAAACTGTGGGATCCTCTGAGCTGGCTGGTTTTCTTGCAGACGTTTCATTACCCAACAAGGTAACATCATAGATGATGTTGCAAGTTGGATAATGGGTAATGACACTAATGTAACATCACTGATGATGTTACCTAGCTGGGTAATGAAATGTCTGCATGAAAAAAAAACCAAGCTCAGAGAGCACCAAAGACCTCTTATTAATTTTCTGTTTTGGGGATAGACAAGTACCGATTAGGAAAAATGCTTTAAAACATGCAGAAATTTATGGCTGGATCTTTGCAGTGTATAACTGTTGCACTCAATTTGGGTTTGTTTTCCTTTTCAGGCTCCTTATGGATATGGTTCCCCGTGTACGGCAAACACGTCATTATGAAATGTTTGAATGAAGGCAACTCAGCTATTGGACTAAACGCATTTTGCAGGATTTGAAAACAGCCTACATCCTGACAAGTGGGGCCGATCCTACTTGCAAGATTGAATTTTGTTGTTTTTCATGTTATTTTTGCATCATCATTCAAGGGGAAATCAATCTGTACAAATAGGGGAATTCATGCACTGCTTAGATCTCTGCAATCGCATTTGGCATACGTTCCCCAAATCCAGCAAGCTGCAATAGAAATGAGTAAGACTTCTAATCCTTTTTGCTACATGTTTAAGTGATCAGCCCGCTCAAGTCACTTAACAGCTGCCCATTTAAAGGCGCCAAATTAAGAAGAGTCCCCAGTCTGACTGTGGCTGTTTAGAGACAAATAGAGCTTGAGTTTTCCCAGGAAAAGAGACTAATCTGTCAAAGAGCTTTTAGTTCTGTTACTCCTAAAATTCACAGTGGATGAAGGACAGCACCTCATTAATGTGTCTTGTCAAGTCAAGGGTGTTTTACACATGATTACCAACAGATCAGACGTGCTATTTTTATTGATTCAGTATTAAAAATATGAAATATTTTCTTCCTGCGAGATGCCAGTTTCAATAAAAGATGCAATCCACCCCCTCATCTGCTCAAACTCCCAAATTTTAGGTCATGGTTTAATTTATAGTTTTATTAAAGTATTTAAAATATGTCTGTCTCCCTCTCCCCACCTTCTCTCTCTCTCTCTTTCTCTCTCTCTCTCTCTCTCTCTCTCTCTCTCTCTCTCTCTCTCTCTTTATATATATAATCAAGCAACACATATTAAGCTACACAGTCAAAATAAGCACAAAGTATTCATGTACAGTTAAAAGCCAAAAAAGGATTGAGGTTTAATGTGTTGATTTATATTATGCACTTATATAGCAGTATGTCTGTCTCAATGGGTGTCCTGTTGACTAATAAAAGTGGAAATAATGGTTCCATTCTGACAGCAATTAGACTCTAATCATGAAGAGTTAGGCTTTTCTGTAGATATTCCCGTGCTCGCTCATTTTATGTTATTTAACATCTGGATTACAGAATGCATTTTCCATCTTGTATAATAGACAAAATGTTTCTTGTTTTATAAAGGATCTATAACTAACCTTTAAAAAAGCAGTGTATATAGTACATTAAATTGAAAGTCTTCCTGTACAGAAGCACCTCTCATAGACAGGTTACTTCTGTCGTTTTTTCATAGGTGGAATGTTTTAGCACAAATTTAACATATGGTTAAGTAAATTAGGTTTTGAAGTTTACTGCTTAATCCACATCTGTTCATGGCTCCACTATTTTGAAAATGGTGCATTTATAAAGAGGTCAAAGTAATTTTATATCTGCCAAAAAGTGTAAAGTTTATTGGAAGTATGTATATTGGTGTGGAATAATGATTTGCAGAGGGGCATAAAACATGCAGTTGACATCTTTAATAACACCCCTTAGTGTCATTTACTGGTTTCTTGCTTCTATATGCTATGTTTTTGTGGATGTATTTTTGTGGAAATGCAAATAGAAGATTGATAGAAGGGATATTTATTTCATTTCATTTCAAAGAATTGGATGCAATGCAATCTCCTTAATTACTTGCTTGAAGGTGTTTCCATAGGAATACTAATCTCTTCAGTACACTTCATCACTTCAGACAAAAAATGTCCAGCCTTGTGGTAATGTTTTTTATTCCATGCAGTCTTCTGAAATAAATGCATTGAACATGATCCAAAACCAGTATGTATCTTGGTGTGGTCATAGAAATAACTTTCTGCAGAGGGGCAGTTAAACTAGTAGCTCATTAATCTACCAAGTTTTCCAGAGGGATTGATTGCTGAGTTAAATCCTCTGGCAACTTAAAAGCTAACAAATGTATTATTACATGAAATGTGTTTTTGTGTATTTTGATGAAGCAAGTCATTATCCACCAAAAGCTTATGGAGTAGCAGGCTATATATAGTATAGATTATAGCATCACTAGTCCTTTTACTTAGTATGGATGACTACATGGCCATTTAAAACAAATCATCATTAACTGAGATTCAGTGACATTGTTCACAGATGAAAGGGACAAAAAGATAAAGGATTCCCCTGTCAAGGCATGTCCAACTCTAGAAGGCGGTGCTCATCTCAGTCTTTTAGCCAAGGGGAGCCACCATTGTCCAAAGACATTTCCGTGATCATGTAGCCATATATTCTGAGGCACGTGGAACACTCACCTGTTACCTTCCAAAGTGATACCTATTTATCTGCTCACATGTGCATGCTTTCAAACTGCTAAGTTGTCAGGAGCTAGGGCAAAAACGGGAGCTCACCCCATCACACAGCAGCATTCGGGTCACTCGCCTCAGTTTCTGTCCATCTAAGAGTTTGAAAGCATGTTCTATGCAAGTAGATAGGTAGGTACCACTTTGGTGAGGAGACAGGCTGGTCTGTGTGCAGACAGTCAGATTCCTGACGGCTCTGAACCTTCCCTCTTCCGAGGCAGCTCTGGAAAGGGAGGGTGATACTGCAGGAAGAGCCGCTGGTCTTTCTCTATGGTGCAAAGCCAGCTTGCCCTCCTGTGGGGCACCTTGGGATACACACAAGTGTGTCTTATTTCAGGGCTGGTACCTTGGCAAGCCATACTACTATGCAAAAGCATTAGGGCAGTGGTGGCAAACCTATGGCACACGTGCCAGAGGTGGCACTCAGAGCTCTCTCTGTGGGCACACGTGCCGTTGCCCCAGCAGAGTTCGCCAGAATAGCGAGCACATAGCCTTTGGAAGCGACAGGGCAGGAAGTGAGCGAACAAGTGGCGTTGGCTCCCTGGGGATGCCCCGGAGATGACGAGGGACTGGCCCCAGCCACGCTCACTCAGTCTTCCGTGACCACTGCAACCACGCCCACCCAGTGGGCCACGTCCCATGCCCCCCTGAGGGTACCACAATGCTGATGCAACCCTGGCACTTTGCGACAAATAAGTGGGTTTTGGGTTGCAGTTTGGGCACTTGGTCTCTAAAAAGTTCTCCATCACTGCATTAGGGTCTCCTGGCTACTGTAACAACATCATATGCTAATAATAATTCAGATCTCAAACCAGAATCGGACTTTCCAGCTGATAAGCTCAACATCTTTAACAGCTGAGCCATTGCACCCCTGTAGGGACAACAGGTGTCCAAATTTCAATATTATAAGAGTCATAAAATTTCAAACATTTACTTTAAAACAGCTTTGACATCCCAAATTGTAGTATCCATATGGATACGTTGGAAACAATTGGACTGTATAGGCAAGCGGCATATAATTCTATTTGCATATAAATACAAAAATGTATCATCTCGGTCTTTTCAAGTGTGCCGTAAGCTTTCATCAACTATCACAGAGAGCAAGCAAAGGTGAATCACAATAGAATTAGGTCTATTACAATTGATACACTCCCATGATGCCATTTGGAAAAAATCAAGGAAAGATACTCAAGTGTATTGTTAAATTTAAATATAGACTTAAATGATAATATTAGCATCATGGGGGTCCCAGTGGTATTGTTTAACGTAAATAACTTTTCTTGCAACTTTTGAACGGTGAAGAAAACACTTGGACAAAGAAAGTTAATTACACAATTTGTTTGAAAAATAAGATGCCTTCCTAGTGATAATGAAAGCCGATAATGTTCACTTTTAAAATTTTGTTGTGATCATATCTGTATATTTGCCAGGCAACAATTTTCTGGAACAAAATTGAGTAGGACACAATTTACCAATAAATCCAAGCACTTTTTTTTTAAGTGCTTTTGGAGTGGCTTCATTTGAACTTAAAATACATACTAAAAATTTACCCCGTTCTTACTTAGCTGAACAGAATGGTGAAAGTAAGTATCTAGTAGCCTACCTACATTATTTCCATCACAGGCTTCACAATGAGGGGCATCTATTGTAATTTGTGCTTGCAGAGATGAGTGTTTTTGGATGGTTTCTCCCACTGCAATTAGATTTATTGAGGTGTTTATGTAGACAAGCAACTAACAAAAATAAGCAGATGTAGGAATTTGTACCTGCTTAAGTTAAACATGAGAAAAACCCAGGAATATATATTTTGAAAATGGAGTTCTTGAATTCACATGAAGAGCTTTACCTTCACTAGTTTCTTTTTTTAAGAATATTTTCAGTTGTGCAAAATATTATTAGAACATTCAATTTTAATTAAGTTTGGGAAAGTGTAAATAATATTGGATAGATGGTACTAGCAACTCATGCAATCTAGTCAAGTACATGACATATAATTCCCAAATCATTGTTTCCATTCAAACCAGGCCACCCTTTATACACTAAGTCCTTGGATGTAATTGTGTTTTCACAATTTTAGTAACCTCATTTATATAATATCCAAATTACGTGTTTTATAACATAAAATACTAGGTTATATATTAGCCATTATTCAATATTCTGGGTGACTAAAAGTTAGTTTTTAAACAGAAATGACCATTGTGAAATTAGTCATTTTATGACATGAGGGCATTCAGTAAAATGATAGCTTTTGATCAAATTTCAATTGTTTGGACAAAAAATGGCCTTAAATGGACTTTCCTAAAGTTAATTTCTTTAGGAAAGAAGTTTAAAATAATAATAATAATTGCAGGAAACATATGCTTCATTTGTCTCATTTTATGGAATGGCCTATTGGTTAGTGAATAAAAGAAGACATGCTATTTATATCATTTATATCATTAAATAGCAGTTTGAGGTTTGATTTTTCTTTTTTATGTTCAATGGGCATTTCCATTTCAAAGCAATGTCACAATTGTCTCTACACAGGCACACACCAACATTTGTGAATTGACAGATATGGCTAATTATTTTGAGGCCAGCACATAAAATTGCATTTAGCCTAACCTTCTGTTGATAGTTGTTACACGGTGCATTTATTACCTTTAAAGCCTAGGTGAATTCTAGGTGAACAAGAATGTGATGCAGTGAGAATAGAATTAAAATTAAAGTCAATTACAGTTAATAAGATGAAGTTTTCAACATCTGGCACAAACTCCCTAATGTAACGGTAGGAACATCCAGCTATTGTAGCTTTGGAAAAAAAAAAAGGGATTCATGATCTGAATTAGATAAAACTCCAGTGAATAGATATTAGAAGCAGAATGTCAATGTTACTTGAAATTAATGAACAAAGCAATTTTTACTGTCAGAAACATGTGTGCCTCAGCCAGTTATATTTTATACAGTGATCCATATTTTAATTGCTTTGCCTATCTTAATTCTCCCCTAAATGTATAGACAAAAGCCCAATTAAAAATACATTAACTACAGTTTTAATATCTGCTTAAGCCTTACTATTAAAAATAAACTCTTCAAGCATTTCTAAATGATAATTGGGTCTTCTATGAGCTTCAAGAACTATTATCTTGGTAATATTAACTATTACTTTGAAGATAGTAAAAGGTAGTCTGATGGTGTGCCTCAAATTATTCACAGGTGGTAGAAATGCATAATTTTTCCACCCAAAGTTGCTGTGATGGATGCTAATTCTAGAATTCTGAGAATTTCTTATGATTCCTTATTTAAACATATTTACATGGAAGAACCAAGCAGAAATAGAAACTGGATCTGCCTCTTCAGTTTATACAGATTTACTGATTCACAATGCTTGGTTCTTCCAAAATGCTTCACCCAGTTCTCACTTCATTGCACTTGTCATTTTTTATAGTTCTCCTTTATTGATTTTGTAATTTCTTTGATGTAGTCACCCAGAGTCGTTGAATAATTTAGTAAATTATTACCTGAAAAGGGATAAAGCCATTTTAAAGCAAGATGTGTGTTCCTCTTGTCACTGTCATTGTAGACTTTGCAAAGCAGAACTCACGTCCAAATATCATATGAACAATTATGAGACTTTTCTTGTGCAGGAGGCTGGGAATTGAATTTTAACAGAGTAACGGAGCTCAGGCACACACAGGATGGAATGAATGAACTCTTCTATAGTGTCATCCATGAACAAATTTCTGAAATGAAAAGACATTATCCCTTCCCCTGTAGTCTATGACCTCGTTCTCCAGATGAGTGGGAACCTTAACAGATTTTTAAACAGAATGGGCCGTTTGGGAAACAAGCTGTAGAAAAACATTTTGTAGCACGTGGTTTTATATTATATTATGAATTAGAAGTGTTTTACATTTAAGAGTTGAACCAACCGTAAAAAC